CGTTTCACTTTATGTGTGGTATGTGTCAAAAATTATGTATGGCCAATCTATTTTTTACTTTTAGAGCATAATTCACTGAAACATATAGATATTATTTAAATATTCATTCACTTTTTACTTTTAGTCTTTTATAACTATAATGTTTGAGAAAAATTCTGTCATAAAATCTTTTTTCAGATTAATCAGATAAAGAATAAGATACCTGGCATTTCAGAATATAAGTTCTACCAACCAAAAAGAATAAAAAGATAAAAAAACAACAATAGAAAATATAGAATATAAACTCCATTTAAACTCCACTCCTTAGCTTGGCGCCATATTGAATTTCGCGGCCGCGCCGGTAAAGGCCTGGGAACCAGGTGCTCTACCGTATCTGAAATAGCCTTCACCCTGCATTGGCGAGCATCACCCAAAATTGGTTCAACAGGACTGAAAACTCGCGTGATGGAAGAATGGATGTCCACGTCCTATTTATCGACTTTTGCAAAGCATTTGATCGGGTGGACCACGGATTGCTTTTAAGGAAGCACGCCAAAATGAACGTGTCGGAAAGCTTCTGTCTATGGACACGGTGCTTTCTAGAAGGGAGGAGACAGCAAGTAAAATTATGAGGTGCTCTGTCATCTATATATAAGCCTTTGCCCTTCCGGAGTCACCCAGGGATCAGTTATATCACCAACATTGTTTAATGTTCATGTGGATGACCTCGAAGACTGCATTCCCAATTATCTGGACATCAACACGCACAATACGCAGATGACTGCACTCAAGATGAAGTGATTCCATATGGTTCTACTAGCAACATGCAAGAGGTGCTTGATGCAATGAACGACTGGGAACTTAGAAACAAGATGAAACTTAACGCGGAAAAGACAAAAGACATGTGGATCTGCTTTAAAGCTGCAATTCCGGAACCACCATCACTTAAGATTGGCAATGATACGATTGAAAGAGTAAACTCGTTCAAGCTGCTAGGTTTTGGATTAATAATACCCTTAAATGGAACACGCACATTGAAGAAATTACTAAGAAAGCAAAAAAACGCTGATTTTACATACGGGAATGTCGTTGAGAAAATCTGCCAACCAAAGTGCGTTTAACATGCTATAAAACCAAATTAAGACCGGCCCTGGAATATGCAGCCCCAATATGGGGTGTGCTGCCACAATACCTTACAGACGAGTTGGAGAGTATCCAGACTAGAAGTCTGAAAATTATTGGGCTACCTTCTGATTCTCTTCAATCTCTAGAGCAACGTAAGGATAATCTTGCCATTCGTGAGTACAAGAAAATCATTAATGATGAAACGCACCCATGCAGGAAATATATACCTGACATAGTGACGAACACGTATGACCTAAGAACACCAAAAATTCTTTCCCAATTTCTCTCGTACACTAAAAGGCATGAACTATCGTTTATTCCTAGAACAAACTCGCTATTATAGACAATATTTTTATAACTACTCCTAAAATTTTTATCTGTGCATATAACTCCTTGACGTTATAAGTGCTTGGCGTTATAAAATTGACCATTTTATACCACCAAGCAATATCCAAAATTCAAATGCTAAAATGAAGGCAAGTTTGAGCGAAGATGTTTAAATTCTTGTTTACATCAGGTAAGAAGTCCCGTCTTAACCTTAACCAAGAATTGTTAACTAAATTTTGTGTATAACACAGTTCTGAAGAGTTCGAATATAATGCTGAAGTCAGCACTTTTATTTTTCAAGATGCTGTAATTCAGGAGGAATTAATTATATTGATTCAAAAATTTTCGTAAACACTCGTAATAATGATATAAACAACATAAAAAACTTCCAGTATAGAATTATTGTTTTGTTACTTACCGTCAAAACGGGAAAGATCCATCATAATAAAATATGTTTTCACACGTCCATGTTTATAAACAGTCGCAAGGCTACCATCGGAAAATATCGTGATGTTCCGGTATATTCCGGAAAAATGTCATGATATTCCGTGATATTCCGCCATATTCCGTGATATGCCGCCATATTCCGCGATATTCCGGCATTACGTGTTTTCACAACGCCCACAAAAGTGATGGGTATTTCCCATTTTGACGGTAAGCCTAACACACAATAACTCTACACTGGACGTTTTATGTACTATTTTTAATTTAAAGCACGCGTAGGAATGTTTTATCACATATAAAACACGACGCCTAGCGGAGTGTTTTATATGTGATAAAACACGAATACAAGTGCTTTAAATGGCTTCAAAAACGACTCATCTTATAGGAGTTCATTGTCGAAGTAATTTTTAAAAAAACTTTGTCTAAACCGAGAAAATTAAAGCTAAAGTTTATGTAAATTAACATATTTTTTATCACATATCAAAAACTACGACACGCTTATGATTTTTCTGAAATGTCGTTTATATCATTATTACGAGTGTGCACCAAAAATTGTGAGTCAATATGATTAATTTCTCCTGAGTGTACAGCGCCTTTAAAAATAAAAGTGCTGACGTCAGCATTATGTTCGAACGCCTTCAAAACCGTGTTATACACAAAATTTAGTTAAAATTGACCATTTTATACCACCAAGCATTTATCCAAAAATCAAGTGCTCAAATAAAAGCAAGTTTGAGCCATGATGTTTAAAATCTTGTTTATGTACTAATTAAAACATGAGCAACCGATCTTTATCTTATACACAAACTCGAACCAAAGGTGAGAGCACGTTTGTATATCAGATATAGACGCGATGCGAATGTTTTAACGTGCTTAAATAACGACCCATCTTATGAGTTCATTGGCGAAGTAATTTAAAAAATAAACATTGTCGAAGCCGAGAAAATCAAAGCTGAAGTTTATGTAAATCAGGACAAATCTTTATCCGATTTCCAAACATTGATTAAACATTCATTTCTTTTGAATTTTCTTCATGAATTATTGAGTTTTTTAAATCAGGTAAAAAGTCTCGTCTTAACCTTAAGCAACAATTATAACACAGTTATGAAGACGTTCGAAAATAATGATGACGTCAGCACTTTTATTTTTCAAGACGGTTAACTCAGGAGGAATGAATTTAATCATATTGATTCAAAATTTTTGGCTGAGTGGTTGTTTTAATGTTATGGTTGTTTTAATCTTGTTTTAATGTTTTTGTCTCGTTGCATCTTCTAGGAATTCCAGTCCTATCATGAGAAGCATGCGAACAGCAAAGAGTCTCCAAAAACTAGATGTCATGAATTACAACAGTTAAATACAGACATTGGTTAGTAAATGTTTAATTTATACAAATATTTGCCACCCCGAAATATCTCGCGTCTGTCATGTGTAGCAAAGTGATGTAGTGACTGTGAAAATAATATAGAAACGTTATTTATTAAACATATGATATATAAATATTATATTCTTTTAGGTGTAACCGTGTAAAAAGAGAGCTTTAAATTCAAAAAATAATTTCACATGTGAATTTATGCCATTTATACAAGGGAGCACGCCAGAACTATTTGTGCAAATTTATACTAACCTTTTATTTACATGTAAATATTTTCATCGGGCGCCATTTTGAATGTTGAAAACGGTATATATTATTAGCTTATCGCAGGCGTGATAATTTATGTTTATCTTTGACATTAATTTACGTTACACGATGATACTCCGACAGGCGACCGAGAAAGATCCGAAATTTAGAGGGGAGTTAAACGGCCGAACTATTATCCACTGATGCTGGTTGACTGTTGCTAGAAATTTTTGATGTTACTAGGAACAAATAGGAAACAAAATGAGACCTACTATTACGGGAACCACTGAGTATTTTAATATAATATAAACAACGGTAACTCCCAAAATTTAAATTTTTTTATTATTTTCGGATTTACCGTTGTTTTATATTTGACCTACTATAATTAGTTCAAGCGAGTCACAATAGAATATATTACTAAAATTGGGGACAATGGCGAGAGTTTGTATATCAGATAAACATCGGATGCTCATGTTTTAACGTGCTTAATTAAAAGACGACCCATCATATGAGTTCATTGGCGAAGTAATTAAAAAAAAACACATTGTCTCAGCCGAGAAAATCGCAGCTAAAGTTTATGTAAATGAGGACAATTTACAAATCTTTTATCCGATCGATTTACAAACATTCATTAAACATTCATTTCTTTCGAATTTTCTTTTCTACTGTATTTTGTGTCCAGCATTTGCAAATGTTTTTGTTTCTCTGCTGTCGAAAATTCACTGTTGGCGAGCAACGATGGAAATCAATTCAAGTTTTGATAGATTTGACAGTTCTTATCAACGAGCATGGCCAGATAACGAAATTGGATATACGCATTGTCATTGGCCAATACCCCATCACGTGTTCGGCCGTTTCACTACCCTCTTTATTTTTTCTCCGCCGTATTTTAAATTTCGGATCTTTCTCGGTCGTCCGTCGGAGTATCATCGTCTAACATAAATTAATGTCAAAGATGAACATAAATTATCGCGCCTGCGATAAGCTAATAATATATACCGCTTTCAACATTCAAAATGGCGCCCGATGAAACATTTACATGTAATTAAAAGGTTAGTATAAATTTACACAAATAGCTCTGGCATGCTCATATGGTTTCTACTCACCATAATTGACATGTATAGTTTATAATTTGTAAATATTATAAATTTCAACTTGATTAAATTAAATTAATATTTATTTCTTCTTATATGCGATTGAAACTGCTGAGATATTAAGATACATTTTCCGCATGAGAAATGATATCTTCGAATTTTTGGGGGGTCACAGGATACTATAAACTATAGTATTTTAAACATGCGGTACAGTCCGATGTGCGCATGTGCACAAAGGAGCCCTCTTTTTATTTACAAACAGTTTATTTAGGTTTTTATTTCGTTTTATGTTCTTGCAAAGCTTGATAGTTGTGCCTTGATACTTTCTTATACTCCAGAATCATGAAAATATAAATAGCTGTCGCATTAAATTCAATATTTTGGGTACAGAAACGTAAACAAAGCCTTTGTTTACATACGGACTGTACCGCATCTTTAAAGAGATGATGGTCCGCAACCAGACAAATTTCAATGCCACAAATTAGAAGCCCATTGGTGGATGTTGAATTGTACACCAGTGTGCTCACAACCTTTTTGTCGACTTTATTGACGTAAAATACAATTAATCATGGTTGCTCGTTTCGTCTCACCTATCTATTCATTGAACTTTTTCACGATAATCACCGAGACTGGGGTGAATAATTGTTTTAGTATAATTTCATAGGTGATTATTTGAAAAAAAAATAAAAAATACACATTTATCCGTCATTTAATTTACAAAACGACTTCAGCAGGCATTTTGAAAATCCCTTAGGTGATTATCGCGTTATAATCACCTGAACGGCAACCAATCAGTGTGGATAATTTTCAATAATCATCTATGTAATTATATTAGATGCAAATATAATACAATATGTTCAATCAACGTGGTCGTGCACAAATTAGCATAAACTCTGAAAAAAGCGTAACAAAGTATTTGCGTTCACTTATTTCTACACAATCCAAACCTGATAGATAATTTGTAAACTTCCTTGAGCCTTACGAATGTCGATATGTTAAAAAATACAAACAAATATTTCAGAATCAAACACAGAGGATGTTTCTTACGTCGTATTATTGGAAGATTGGGACATTTTGCCGAACAAATTGAATGTGCTTGACAGAACGTTAGGGGCAGGCAAGTTTGGAATTGTTAAACATGGTTTATATACCCCTTCTGAAAATGACTATCCAATGGATGTTGCTGTAAAGATGTTGAAAGGTACAATTTTAAAATTATAATTGATAGTTTCGTTACACGGTAGCTTGCCTGAACAATCAACATATGTTATTTACCGGCTGCGAAGCCCGTACTTGAAAACAAAATTACCGAGATCTCAGAAACGGTCGGATGCCGAAAACCGAGGGACGTTCCTGAAGACGAGTGAAATTATGTTTCAGTATGGGCCGACCTAAACGTAAACAACGTGTTTTTTGTTCTTTGTGTCGAAGTCATTAGGTCCATTCAAGTTCTCAGGAATAAAGAAAAAGACAGATAAAACTATTTAGTATCAATTATGTAAAGTTTTGCAAGGATAGTTGATCGCAACTTAAAAGCCTGATCTTGTAATACAGAAAGTGAATATTCGTGGCTTCTCGACCCTCGAGACCGCTAATATATTAACACCAGCAGCGCTAATATACTGTAACTCTCGGTATCAAATAAAATATCTCTCCAAAATTTCGTACCCAGATGGGCGACAATTTTCACTGCCAGTAGGAGATGATGTGTTTTTTAAAAGCCCCATAATCGTACTTCCCTAACGTTTAAAACGTGAAAATTATTGATTAATAATAATAGAATGTGTAATAATAAAAAATGTAGTTTATCATATAGGATTTTTGTATTTCTACTACAGAGTGCTCCGTACGCGTTTGGTTTACTAATAGCCTCCTATTGTATTACCTATGTACTATTTAAAACACGAGAAGGAGTGTTTTGTCATATTTAAACGCGAGGCGCAGCCGAGTGTTTTAGATATGAAAAAAGGCGAGTTCGAGTGTTTTAAATAGCTTAAAATACGACTACAAAAGAATTATACTAATTAGGATGAAGATTTATATAAAGAATAACAATGAAGATGATCAGATATATAAAGTCACTTCACGTGACATATTTTGGCTGACATGATTAACCACAAGGTTTAATGGATTTTTAAAGAATATTTTAAATACATATAAACTATATGCAAAAAAAAATTTCACCTGGTTCAGGTATGATTTATCAACAAGCTAAACTTTTTTGCTGATTTCAAAGAAAAATACTTTTTCAAAACTCACTTGTGTTTTTTAGAAAACGCCACTGAACAGGAAAGATTGGATCTGGTAGAAGAGATTAAAATCCTGAAAAAAGTCAACGAAGAGCCACATCCAAACATAATTAGATTCATCGGAGCCTGTTCTATAGAAGGTGAGTCTATTCAAAAGGGGATACAAACTGACGAATATAGGAAAAAATAAAAATGTCCCAGGTATTTCTTGCGACAATTAAGTAGTCTAATTGTAATATACTATTAGAGCTAGGAACAAATTTGTGTCCGTTAGCATGGAACTACTTAATTACACATTCACATTTGGTTGGAACCAATCTGCCCTCTGCCATACATGCGTATGTATATCTGATTACAAGAACAGAAAGTGGCGATTTACTTTTTTGATTAATTAACTGTCCTCTTCTTCTTCAGGAAAGCTACTAGTTGTGACAGAGTTCTGCCCTGGTGGCAACCTCCGAAAATTCCTAATTAAAAATAGAGCAAATTATGTCAATATAATATCGAGGTTAACTAATCGTCAATTGTTAACAATGGCCCTGGACGTTGCTAATGGAATGGTTCATCTTTCTGCTCAAAAGGTACTCGACTGACCATATACGCAATGACATGCAATATGTCAAAAAGTATAAAACTAGTCTATACATTACAAGCAATGCGTCAATGCCAACTGTTCATAAATATCTGACACATCTCTTTAGGTTGTTCATCGTGATTTAGCGGCCAGAAATATTCTTATTGGCCAGGAAAATATAGCAAAAATTTGTGACTTTGGATTGACGAGAGATATTAGAAGTGCTGAAGAATATGTACGACATAACCAGGTAAAACGATTAATATTTACAAATTAAACGGACTAACAAGAGTTTCGCTTCTTCTTACCGTGCAGTTTACAGGCATTGGTTCTGTGATACGCTCAACTTGAAAGGAACGCGCGATAATGTTGCCAGATTTGTACACCGTCCTTCGATTATATATCTAAACTATTGTTTATTTCAGCGTGAATATCAAGTCCATTTTATTATTTCGTTAAGGTTACAAGTGTGGCCAAGCTTGCCAATGAAATGATATTTGTACCAGTCATAACATGAGCAGTTTATTTCGTCCTTTCTCGTGCTGTTCATATTTCATTTTACCACGTTAATTCCCTCAGTTTCCTTGATTATACTTTTCAGCTAAAATGCATGTCTCTATATGCATGTGTATATGCATTTGTATAGGTTATTATATGTCCATAATCTATTTAGAATCTGCTTCCGGTGAAGTGGATGGCTGTGGAAAGTTTAGTTCGTGGGCGTTTCACGACAGCTAGCGACGTGTAAGTTTTTGCTTATCCAGTTTGTTGCAATTTTACAGTCCAGGGCTTTGTATAAAAACAAATTTGATACACCTTGCTCGTGCTCATGACGTATGAATTGAGCAAATTCAGAATACTTGCCATATTTTGTTTCTGCAGTACTATTTACAATATTTGGTTCTTAAATCCTGTTCCTTGCTCATGATAAAAAAACGATTTAAATATTCTACCTAGCTAATACCGAACCTTCCTCCGACAGCTAAAACTAATCCAGACAAAGATGTTAATTAATATGCATAAGGCACTTGACAAATCGGAATACTGCCAAAAACTGTATAAAATATTCTACTGAGAAACGTGCTAAATCACAATCACTAGAGCACTCTCAGCCGATGCATTATACAGTGGCGTAGCCAGCCTCGGTATTTGCTCCCGCTATGCAAATATTTCTGTGTTCATCGACTGTAAAAACAATGAATTTCTAAAGAAATGAATAACGATAGTGCTTTGAAATATGCATAGCATGCTGGAGTATATTTTCAGGCTGGCTACGCTACTGGATGCATACATAAATAAAAATTTACATGTCTACTTATTATGATTTCCTGCCGATCTGACCAGATATTATTTTCTGTCACTTCTTACTAACAACGTCTATAAAATATATAGAGGATATTAGATGATTGCGAAGAGAGATGGATTTTATGTTCCAGTGGCAAAAACAATATCTCACGAGTGAGATATTGTTTTCGACACGAGAATATAAATCCATATCTTCTCGCAAACGTTTAATGTTCTGTTTCACTGTTTGTTAGAGACTGGTCATTAAATATGGCAGGTGGAGGAGAAACTAGAAATTTTGAAAAAAAATTGCCCCCCCCCCTCAAAATTATATGTCTTTTAAAGGTCCCCCCTTATGCATTTTATACTTTCTAAAGACCCCCGCCCTTGTACCGGCTTGAAAATATAGATGTATTAATGGCTGTCCCGATTAGGACAAAGCTTAGGAGAGCAAGTGATCAATGAAGAGTATTAAAAGAGGTATAAAATTTGATGAAACTAGTTAAATAAATGTTTTACAATCTATTTAGGTAGGTTACTCTTTGGCCTATGCTTGTCTCGCCTACATCCACTTTTATATTATGTTTTTATGCTTTACTCGTTATGTTAATACCCAGTGTTCCAGTTTAAAGGGCATTTTATGCATCTATTTTGCTGTTCATATTATATACGAGAAATAATCTTTTTGTTGGGAAAAATCCGAAGACCCTCCTCTTTCACATAACGTAATTTTCAAGACCCCTCCATCTCAATGAAAAAATACTTCAGGTTCAATACTACTTTCTCCCCAATCCCCCGCCCTTGCCATATTTAATGACAGGTCCTTTATATGGACTTACTCATAGTGACAAAAAGACACACAAAGACGACATGTAAATAAGCACGCGAAAGACCAGTATAAAAGCGATATTTTTTAAAATTATAGTGCAAACATAAATAAACTAGAATAAATTTTACTTATCTCAAGATGTCTTGTAAATCCTCGTTGTAAATGTTTTCGTTTTATTTCGAACGTTAATTTCGTTTTAAATACGAACCAAAGACCATTTTGTATTTTCAAAACAACAACAATGAGAATGGCGGGAAATTTTCGAACTCCGTATATGTCACTAGCTGGGGTGAAATATGGAAAATACGCGCACCTGGTCCCGGATGTAGTGACGTATGAGTTCTACGTGTGTTTTAGTTTCCAGTAAAACACCATGGTCCCTATAATAAATACATACACAGCTATTTCAATTAAGGTTGTTCCCAAAGGAAAGCGGAAAAGTCGAATACAAGCGCGAAACTCTGCTGGGAATCGTTAATAAATTCATTCATTTATTACCGATTCCCAGCAGCCATTCACGCTCGTATTCGACTTTTCCGCTTTGCTCGAGGGACAACCGTAATTGAAATAGCTGTATACATAGCAATGTCATATCACACATCGCACTACAGGTTGCTTGGATCCCAGTTTTAGTGTTATGGGGAAAGTAACGACACAATAATTGAGCATACTGTGACAGCTTTATATATCAGTAAAAAAAGTCTCCATCATGTAGGAAAAATGAAGCAATTTTAATACAATTTTAATTTATTCCTGTGGGGGAGTAAATTTAACTCTTTCGGTGGAATTGAAATGGTTAAAAGTAAAACTGCACTTAAGTTGACTTCTGGACTAGAAAATAAATTAATGACAATTATTTTTTATTCCTTTACATGCAAGAGTACTTTTTATCTGTTCGGTGGAGTAAAATTCACACTTGAAGGGGGGTAAAATTTATAAAATGAACCACAGTGGAGCAATTTTAAATATTAATAAATGCAGTCGTTTAAATTAAATTGATCGATCTATTTATCTCTATTTATTTTACTTTAAATTTTTCACTGCTCCAAAGAGTTATTTCAAATCCTACCATGTGAAGAGTGATATGTAGAAGTTTAATGTATATCATCCACCCAAGCAGAAATGAGGACGTTAAAAATTAGTTATTAATTGCGATTGTTAACTATTAAAATCTAAAAATGAGTTCAGTTCTTACTACAAATACTTTATGAAAATCGAAAATTTAAATTTGATTGGTACTCTAGAACCAAACCGCTATGTTAGTCCTTCTGACCAGAATGCCGCATCAAGATATTCTAATTTTCTATATTTTACCTCTCAAACCATATTGTGCTAATTATTGCTCTGTTGACGCAGGTGGAGCTTTGGCGTTCTTCTTTATGAAATTACAACTCTCGGTAGGTAATGCGCCTGGAAAACTAATTGTATTACAGTATGTGCCAAAGCAAATGTCAAGGCTTGTCTTTCCTGGGCATTAGTTCACATTTTAAGTTTTCTAAAAAAATAGTTTTTACAAAAGTTTTCAAAAGTTTTAAAAGAGTTTTGAAAAGCAACAAAAGTTTAAAAAAAAGTTAGATTTTTAAAAAAGTTAAAAAATTTAAAAAGTTAAAAAAATTAGGGTTAGGGGTTAGGGGTTAGTGTTTAGTGGTTAGTGGTTAGGGGTTATGGGTTAGGGGTTGGGGTTGGGGTTAGGGTTAGTGTTAGGTGCCGCGAATTTATTATTATGATAAATTCAAAATTTGCCGCGCGAATTTATTATAATGATAAATTTGGACGTGTTTAAGAATTTACTCATATAGTAAATTCAAAGGTGGAGCTCATGCTGGTAAATGTCTGAGTCTCACAAATCTTCATCACGGAAGCGACGTCGGTCGTTATCTCGCTCGTTACTAGATAGTCGTCGACGAAACAAAAATTCATAGGCATACAAGAGCGATTTGTAGCTTTTGTCAGAACGTGTAACGAAAATACAATTAATCCCAGTGCAATTAGCAAACACTCAAAATTCCTCATTCGGCTGGGGAAAGTACTGGCGGGACGATCGCCTCGACCATTTGAGAACTACTTGCAATATCGTGCAGGGATATGCTACAATATCGATATGCTTGCAATATCGTGCAGAGATATGCGCCTACGTATGGTTGGATTCATGGAAACTTCTCAGGGTTTTCGTCTTGACATATCTCTTTGTCACTAAAACGGCGGCTTTTCATGTCATGATTTTTTGTGTGTGTTGGTGTTATGTACTCGGGTGAATATGATGTTTGTGATGTTGCCCTGAGTGTATATCCGCACCGGGCAATATTGAAAAATATGCCTGGCGACGATGGGAATCGAACCTACTACGACCCTTCGAATACTGGCCCAATGCTCTGCCGACTCAGCATTCCAAGTACCTCACAACTCGGTGTCTGGATGTACCATCGCTAGATGGTTATGTGACGTGATACAAGAGGCTGGAATTGAACGACTCTTCAATTTTTAAAGCACCTTCGAAACGAACAGTGTCGAGTTATCCAGTTGCATGCAAATAACAATTTTGCTCTTGGTGACATTTTGAAAGTAAGAGATTGGCCCTCTCTTCAACTTTCAATGGTTTTATTACAAGCATGCTGTTGACGTTACTGGCACGCAAACTGTTTTGAGCAATAGTACTAGATAAATATTTTACTATCGAACTTGCATTGTTTATGATCATCTTTCTAAACGATTTTTAAAACTACCTTAAATACACAATAAATGGACCTGGGGGAATTTTACATATCAAATGAGCTTTCGCGCGTTCTGATTGGCTAGTTGACTAGTAAATATGACGCAATGTATTTACCACCAGACTAGTAAATAATGCTTTTCTCAAATTTCACCTAGAAAACAAAAAAAAGCAGAAATGTTGTATTTAGCTATTAATATCCTACTGTGTCAACCACATTCACAGACAATTTAAAACTTATTTAAAACTCCGAAACTTAACGTTTACTTCAAACAAATACAAAAACTATCCCGACTTTTGGGGAAAGCAATGATATATTTTTTTAAACAATGTTGTTTCGTATCCTATAGATATATATCTCAATTTGTAGGATACTATATCTTTCAATGTCATGTCTTCATTGTGCTGCATGGTGTCCTGACGTTGTATTGTGTTTCCGAAACTTGTAAAATGAAAAGTGTATTAAAAGTTTATTTCGAACGATATAGTTTTACATTTCGTTTTACCAGATTTCTCAGCCATTTCCTCAACAAATTAATGCTAAACAGAAACTATTTTTTAATAAATGTGGTGAAAAATTTATTCTGTCATTGTGGTTATATATTCTAAGCAGATATCGAGAAGGACAACTTTGTAATAAAGCAACAAAGTCACACAGGAAGCCATTTTGAAAGCGTGCGTGTGTAGAAGAAACACTGCAACACTAAAATAGTGACCGTGAAGCACCCGAAACCAGTTTTATTTCTGAATTTTAATTGAACTGATATTTGGATATGTTGCCTTATTCATTAAAAAATTATACTAAAACAATTATTCGCCTCAGGCTCTGCAGTGATTACGGTGAATATTCACCTCGACTTCGTCTCGGTTAATATTCACCGGTAATCACTTCGCCTTCGGCGAGTAATTGTAAATTATTATGTCGCAGTATATGAGTTTATATTCTCCAGCGTTGAAATCTGCCATTTCTTATCGCAAATATTTCGACCGGAGTTTGGGAAATATAATTTCAATGACACAGGGCCAATGAGGCCTGCGTGTGTAATTATGATTATATAAGCAAACGAAGGAAGAAATACATGGTCTCACCCTTTCGTACCCTTAATACAGGGTACACGATCCCTCCCAATTGTTTGTGTACACTAGGAGGCCTTAATTAAACGTCGAAACAAAGCTCTGAAGTGGCCCCATATGATTCCCAAAGGTTTGTTTACAAGTTTTATGTGATGACCTATTTTATGCATTCTGATTGGCTTTGAGCAAACGTGTAAAAAAAAAGATCGGTCGGGGACGAAATTCCGCCATATTCATTGAGACGTTGAGTTGGACAATGAATGAACTTACGTAAATAACGTCAACGAAATTCAAAGTTGTTATTGTACACTAACGTATTATCCGACATGAGCTCCACCATTGAATTTACTATACCGTTGTTTACAACCACCCATTAACGGTCCCATATAAAAACATGGCCTATACGCGTGTTTCTGCTGGGGTCTACAACGTAGGCTAATTCGCGTGAGAATCTTAAGTTTCCTTATTTTGACATAATAGCTATTTTTTAATAAATATATTGATATTTTAAACTTTTTAAATCAATATTTTAAGTTTCACGCCAGTTGTACCAAAGGTTTATGTAAGCGCTATAGCGCATCATAAGTTTTCAAATGGCATGCAACATGTACGCACTGCGTACCTATTTTTGAAACAAATAGTCCCCCAAAAAGTTTTAGAAAGCAAAAAAAGTTTAAAAAGTTAGATTTTTTAAAAAGTTAAAAAAATTTAAAAAGTTCAAAAAGTTAGAGTTATGGGTTAGTGGTTAGTGGTTAGGGTTGGGGTTAGGGTTGTGTTAGCTGGGTGCCGCGAATTTATTATTATGATAAATTCAAAATGTGCCGCGACTTTATCATAATGATAAATTCGGACGTGTTTAAGAATTTACTCATATAGTAAATTCAAAAGGTGGAGCTCATGCTGGTATTATCGCACGAACGAGCTGAAATGCCTTTCTAAATGGCTTCAAACAAGTGTGCATTCTTCGTAAGAACCTGTCCCTCGGCATACCCACTTTTAACCACTTGGCCAATTAAGTCTTTAGATCAAACTTGTTCCTCAAAATTTCGCGTTGCGAATTTTCAGCTAGAAGTTATCAACAATAAATCATGCTCCAGTTTTCTGCCTCAAGTGATGGGTCAGTCCACGCTAAAATGTCTGCTAAAAGACGCTGTTGCCTACAATTTACTCGTGTTAGAAATTGCTCAAAAAATTATTGCGAAATGCCTTATTTATGGCCCTTTTAGGTTTCTTAAGGCTAGTTTCCACTCAGTAAAATTATCCGTGGATTGGAACGGACAAGAAAATTTTTCTTGGTGTTGAAAGTCATTAGTTCCAACCCAGAGCTCACAAGACAAAGAAAAATTCTTGTCCGTTCCAATCCACGGATAATGTTCCTGAGTTGAAGCTAGCCTTAATTTGACATCCTCTGTCAGATCACTGGCGTGTCGTACATATTTCAATAACGTTACCTTTAATTCAACTGCTAAATTTTCAGGTGAGGAACCATACAAGAACATATCACCATATGACATTATTAATCACGTAGGATGTGGATGCCGAATGTCAAAACCATCTCACTGCTCCGACGAAGTGTAAGTAAAATTACTAAATTAAATTGACCGTTGTGCAATTGTCACTTTAATGTATCACAGTTTTCCGCAAAAACGGAAGTAATCACTACGGCATGATGATGATGTTGATGATGATGATGATGAATCTTTATTAATTTGTAAAGTGGCTTAAAAGCTAATTGCTAACAAACTTGAGGCCTAGGAACTAATTAAAACTGCAGTGATGGCAAAAATTAAAAAAACTAAATCTAATAGATATACTAAAAAAGTATAAAATTACAACAGTCATGTAAAATCAGTCTAAGCGGTAAAGTAATTGGAAAGTTGTTGTTGTTCAAACATGTTGTTCCACATTGGTTATTCTGAAAGTCCTTACTGCATGAAACATTTCTTCTTAGAAGGAATGGAAGCTTTGTTCATTTTATTAAAATTAGAAGAGCCAGATATTCAAGGACAACGTATTTTTAACATACTGACGCGGGATGGAGTGGAAAATGTCGTATTAGTTCATGCAGACAATCAATCTAAAAGAGAAAAAAATGGCCGTGGGATAGAGTATGGAATGATTTATTAGCTCATGCGAATAATCAATCTGGAAGGAAAAAAAATAGTTCTCTATGTTTTGACCAATGACGAAATTTAGGAGGTGGAAAATACGAAGTGCGCCTTTCCTATTGAAATTCTCCATTCAATTCAATTTAATATTTACATGAACTTGCTATAGTTAACGTATATTACCTAATGTGTAATTTGCAAGACAATTAATTTCAATTGTTTTCTTTTCTCCGAAAATAACATGTATTGTTTCCTTTTAGGTATGAAATAATGAGAAAGTGTTGGAAAGTGAATCCAGACGACCGACCTACTTTCACAGAAATATCACAGCACCTTCGCGACATGTTAGCTGACAATGAGGTATATTTTGTAATTCTTGTTGGTGCATGTGTACATATAATTAATCTACTCGTAATTAAATAAATTTAAGGGACCAGTCATAAAGTATAGGGGGGGGGGGGG